AATTACAATCACAAAATGGAGGCCAACCCCACAATTCTGGGAATCATGGCCTAGCCAAATTGATATACACATTTTTGGGGGGACACAATTCAATCCATGATAAACAGGATCCAACCGCTGTGACCCATAGGGTTTTCATTGGCTGATTTTCGGAAATAGATCACCAAGCCTTTCTTCCTAGTTTGTCTTAGTTAGGAAGCTTGGATGAAACCTGTTCAGCATCATAACAAGCCTCCACTGACAGATGGGTGGTGGCTGCACATGAGGTGCCTTGGCTGGAAATAGAATTGGAGCCTCCTGTATGGAAGGCGAGAATTCTACCACTGAACCACCATGGCTCATTCTTACTTTCAGTTTAGCTACAGACCCCTGAACAGTAAAGTCATGGGGGAAGGGGTGCTTTTTGGCAAAATCTAAAGTCAAAAGCATTTTCAATAATAAAGACACTGTATGGAAGCTGTGAAATCCACTCTTAGTCAGCCCCCAGTGATTCTCACCTCTAGGTGTTCATGCCCCTGGGTTTTCCTCTCCACACTGCACAGGGCTGACCAGTGTGACCAACAGGATATGATGGAAGTGATCAAGTGAGAATTCCAAGTTAGGTCATAAAAGTCATTGCACTCTGAGATACTCTTCAAACCTTGAACTGAAAGGTAACCCCTGAGGTCATCTTGTAGCTAAACGACAGATTGGCTCAAAACATAATAAATATCACCCATAAGTACTGCTCCTTGAAAAAAAATCACCTATATGAAAACGGACGGTCAACATTTACTTTAATAGAACGATGAGAATATAAGGGGGCAGGGAAACTAGATTACTAGAAATGGAACGACCAGAATGAAAATAATGAGAATATATGCACATTGTGAAGAATGTAACCAATGTCACTGAACAAATTTTGTGTAGAAATTGTTGAATGGGACCGAAATCTGCTGTGTAAACCTTTACAATAAAATTTTATTATTAAAAAAAAAAGTTATTTCAGCTTCCACCGTGCTCTCTTGCAAATCGTCTGGTTGAGGGTGAGTCAGCTGCCATGTTGTAAGGACACGGAAGCAGTCATGCTCTGGAGAAAGGCATGTGGCTAGGTACCAAGGCCTATAGGCATCTGAATGAGTTCCTTTGCAAGTGGATCCTCCAGCCCCAGTCAAGCCTTCAGATGACTGCAGCCCCAAGCCACCATCTTGACTGCAACCACAGGAAACCCTGAGCTAGAACCACCTGTGGATTCTTGATCCTCAGGAATTGTATGAAACAATAAATTTGCTTATTATAGTTTTAAGCTGCTAAGTGTTGGGGTGGTTTTTTATACAGCAATAGATAACTAATACACCTAGGATAATATGGCCTATGTATAAATGAAGGAGCCCTGATGGTGAAACTGTTATGCACTTGACTGCTAATCAAAAGGTTGGCAGTTCAAACCCACCCAGCAGCTCCACAGGCAAAAGGCCTGGTGATCTGCTCCCATAAAGATTCAGCCCAGAAAACCCTATAGGTCAGTTCTACTCTGTCACATGGGGTCACTATAAGTTGAAATTGACTCGACGGCACCTAACAACAACAACATCATTTTGGAGGCAGCTCAAGTTTCACAGGAAAGTAATCAATGAGATTGATTGATTGAAAACAGGAAATAGAGAAAATCAATGAAACCAAAAGCTGGTTCTTTGAAAAGATCAATGAAACTGATACAACTCTAGCCAGGCTAACAAAAGAAAAAAAGAGAAGAGACACAAATTACTAATATTAAAAATGAAATAGTGACATGAACACTAACTGATCTCATAGACACTGAAAGGTTAATAAAGAATATTGTAAACAACTCTATTCTTACAAATTTGATAACTTAGATGAAATGGACCAATTCCTTAAAAAACACAACCTACCAAAACTCACACAGGGAGAAATAGATTATCTGAATAGACTAGCATCTATTACAGAAATTCAATCAACAGTTAATAACCTTCCAAAACAGAAGGTGCCAGGCCCAGATGGCTTCACTGGTGAATTCTATCAAACATTTAAAGAAGAATGAACACCATTGGTCTCTTTTGCCCTGGAGCAACAGAGGAAGAAGGAGAGTCAGGAATAGGAGGAGGATATGGAATGTGTGGCTAATTGGCTCCATAAACAACTGCCTCCTTTGCTATGAGACCGGAAGAACTGGATGGTGCCCAGCTATCATTACTGAATGTTCTGGTCAAAGATCCTATAGAAGAATCCTGATCAAAAGGGGAAAATGTAGAACAGAATATCAAATTCTCATGGAATCCAGGCTTTCTGGAGCCTGGATTGAAGCTGGATGAACCCCTGAAATAACTGCCCTAAGATAATCTTTAAACCTTAAACCAAAAATATCCCCTGAAGTCTTCTTTAAACTAAACAATAGTTAATTGGTAAAGAATGTCTGCCTTAAGTACTGTGCTCTTTTAAGAACTGTCTATATGGGATCAAACTGAAAAGAACAACTTGAAAGTTTACATAGGAAGCTTAGGGGGCAGTGAGTTTACCTGAATGGGGGAGGAACAATTCAGAAAAGGAGGGTGAGAATGCTTGTACAACTTGAAACATGTCATCAGTGTCACTGAATTGTACATGTAGAAATTGATGAATTGGTGTATGTTCTGCTGTGCATATTCTCAACAACAAAATAAAATAAATTTAAAAAAAAAGAATATTGTAAACAACTCTATGTCCACACACTTGATAACTTAGATAAAATGGACCAATTCCTTAAGAAACACAACCTATCAAAACTTACACAAGGAGATCATCTGAGTAGACTAGTATCTGTTTCAGAAATTGGATCAACAATTAATAACCTTCCAAAACAGAAAGCACAGGCTCAGATGGCTTC